CTCTCAGAGCTCAGCTGACAACGAGGCTCAGGGGTGCTGGCCCTTCCACACCCCCCCTCCTTCCTCCTGTCAGTTTCCCAGGAGCACCTGAGGTCGACTGAGAGCCCAGAGGCAATGCTGGCACCAACCCTGTGGGGAAATGACAGACACCTGGGGAAGAAGTTCATTCTCAAGTCCAGATGTGTGTGATGGAAGCAACTGAGGGGCAGACGGGGAGGGGCCGTGGAGGCAGGCCAGGAGGTGCCAAGCAGAGGAAGGGGATGGGGGGCGAGGAGGCAATCCCTGTCCTCTCCTCTCTTCCTCTCCCTGCCCCTTCACAAGCCCCAGGTATTGAGCTCCTACCCCTGAACCGCCTCCCACACCCTGACCTCTGACTCCAGCCAGCCACCCTCACGCGGCACAGAACTGCGTGGGAGCCTCTGGAGGGCCTGCCCAGCATTAATAACAACAGCTGTTCACTGAGAGCTCACCGGGCACCAGACACTGGGCCCAAGACCTCCACGTATTGCATTTATTCAGATTACAGCTTTGAAGCATGTGGTATCATTTCCTTTTACAGACTAGGAGGTAGGAACTCAGGGCACTCGCTCTGGGCCCCAGGCTGGGGTGAGCCGGTGGCCAGCTTTCCTGGGGGTAGCCACTGGCCTCCCAGGTTGCAAACCCAGGATTGTCAACGACCTCACGCCAGGTTTCTGTGTGCTCCTAAGCACTTGCCTTGCTCATTCTGACTTGATGCCCGACACACGCTGTTCGCCCTGCTTTCCATTTAACAGGTAGTGAGTGGAGCACGGACTCTGTACCAGTCACTGTGTTCAAAGGCGTTCTCCTTCTACCATTATTATCCCGTTTCATTGATGAGAAAACTGAGCCTCAGACCAACTATGTATCCTGTCCAGGGCCACAGGGCTGGCGAGGAACAGAGCTAAGAAAACAAGCTGCGAAGGCTGAGCTCTTGTCCACGGCACTGGAGACCTCCCCACCTGCCCAGACCCTCCATCCACACGCCCCCTCCCCACTCCAATGCCCAAAGCCTCTGGTGACTTGCCGACTCCTCAGTGCCCTCCTGTCTCCTGCGAGTTCAGAGTTCACCGTGGTTCCCTGTACTTGTGCTGGTCCCCAGCCCAGCAAAGTGACTACTAAGCTAAGCTGATGGTCCCTCTACCTTCCTAGTTTGGCCTCTCTTCCCGCTTTCCTCCTCCCAGTGCACTCTCTCCTCCTGGCTGTCCATCTAAACCTGTCCTCTGGGATGGGTTAGAAGCTCTTTCACATTTATATGAAGAATAAAAACCCATGAATAGCTACAAGAATTGTAGAGAGGTTGCCTTAACTACAATAAGACCTAAGCAAGGCCACGGGAATAAGAACAGAACAGTGTGGGGAGAAGGCCCAGTGGACCAATGGGGCCGAACAGAGCCCTCCGAGGCAGGCAGACCCAGGCCATGGTTGGGGGCATCGCAATCAACAGGAAAGATGAATTGTTTTGCAAATGGTGTTTGGAAAATGGGCTCACCATATAAAGAAAAAGAAAATTGGTTTCCTATGTAACACCACATATAAAGATGAACTTGGGATGAATTAAGGACCAACATGTAAAAAATAAAACTACACATTTGTAAAGTAGAAAAAATATAAAAGAATATCTTTGTCACCTATAGAGTAAAGGACTTTTTTTTCCAGTTTTATTGAGACATAATTGACATATAACATTGTATTAGTTTTAAGTGTACCAAAAAATGATTTAATATATGTATATATTGTGAAATAATCACCACAAGTTTAGTTAACATCCATCACCTCATATAGTTACAGTTTTTTTTCTTGTGATGAGAACTTTTAAGATCTACTCTGTTAGCAACTTTCAAATATACAATACAGTATTATTAACTATAGTCACCACGCTGTACATTACATCCCCAGGACTTATTTATCATATAACTGGAAGTTTGTACCTGTTGACCCCCTTCACCCATTTTGCCCACCATCCACCCCCTGCCTCTGGCAACCACCCGTCTGTTCTCTGTAGCGTTGAGTTTGGGTTTGTTTAGATTCCTCATATAAGTGAGATCATACAGTATTTATATTTCTGTCTGACATTCCATCTAGCATAATGCCCTCAGAGTCAATCCATGTTGTTGCAAGCATCAGGATTTCCTTCTTTTTTATGGCTGAGGAACATTCCATTTTACATATATACCACATCTTCTTTATCCACAACCTAAGTGGACACTTAGGTTGCTTCCATGTCTTGGCTATTGTAAATAATGCCGCAATGAACATGGGAGTGCAGATCTCTCTTCAATATAGTGTTTTCATTTCCTTCAGATAAATACCCAGCAGTGGAATTGCTGGATCATATGGTATTTCTATTTTTAATTTTTTGAGGAATCTCCATACTGTTTTCCATAATGGCTGTACCGGTTTACATTCCCACCAACAGTGCACAAGGGTTCCCTTTCCTCCACATCCTCACCAACACTTTTTACTTCTTGCCTTTTTGATGATAGCCATTCTGACAGGTGTGAGGTGATATCTCATTGTGGTTTTGATTTGCATTTCCCTGATGATTAGTGATGTTGAGCATTTTTTCATGTACCTGTTGGCCGTTTGTCTTTTTTGGAAAAATGTCTATTCAAGTCTTCTGTCCATTTTTAATCAGATTGTTTTTTTTTGCTATTGAGTTGTATGAATTCTTTATATATTTTGAATATTAACCTCTTGTCAGATATATGATTTGCAAATATTTTCTCCCATTCAGTAGGTCGCCTTTTCATTTTATTGATGGTTCCTTTGCCATGCAGAAGCTTTTTAGTTTGATGCAGTCCCACTTGTATGTTTTTGCTTTTGGTGTCAAATTCAAAAAATCATCACCAGGACCAATGTCAAGGAACGCATTCCCTATGTTTTCTTTTAGGAGTTTCACAGTTTTAGGTCTTACATTCAAGTTTTTAATCCATTTTGAGTTAATTTTTGTGTATGGTGTAAGGTAGTGGTTCAGTTTCATTGTTTTGCATGTGGCTGTCCAGTTTTCCCAACACTATTTATTGAAGAGAGTGTCCTTTCCCCATTGTATGTTCTTGGCTCCTTTGTCATAAATTAATTGACCACATATGTGTGGCTTTATTTCTGGGGTCTATTCTGTTCCCTTGATCTATGTGTCTGCTTTTATGTCAATGCCATCATCTGTGCCATCACTATAGCTTTGTAGTATGGTTTGAAATCAGAGAGAGGGACGCCTCCAGCTTTGTTCTTCTTTCTCAGGATCACTTTGGCTATTTGGGATCTTTTGTGGTTCCATACAAATTTTTGGACTGATTTTTCTATTTCTGTAAAAAATGCTGTTGGGATTTTGATAGAGATTGCATTGAATCTGTACGTTGCTTTCGGTAGTATAGATATTTTAACAATATTAAGTCTTCCAATCCATGAACGTGAGATATCTTTCTGTTTATTTGTGTCTCCTTCCATTTCTTTCATCAACGTCTTACAGTTTTCAAGGTACAGATCTTTCACCTCCTTGGTTAAGTTTATTCCTAGATATTTTATTCTACATATTTACATTCTCAAAATGTAAAAAATAAAACCACAAATTTGTAAAATAGAAAAAAATATAGGAGAATATCTTTGTGATCTATGGAGGAAAGGACTTAACCCATATTTCAGACTATACGGGGAGAAATGGATGAATTTGAGAATTGTATTTAATACTGGATACCATGGACAAAGTTAACAGGCCAAGAACAGATTGAAAGAAGATATTTGCAATGTCTAAAACCAACAAGGGGTCTATTATCTAGAATATCTGGCGAAATCCTACAAACTAGTAAGAAAAGGACAAGAACCCAATGGATAAATGGGCAAGGGAGCTAAACAGGTAAATTACAGATGAGTGTGGCCGAGACAATGGTGTGGGTCCCTGTGACCCCACAGCATCTCCTCTTCCTGGGCACACAGGAACTACATTTCCCGGCTTCCTCTGTAGCTATGTTAGGATCATGCTGTAGGCTCTCCATGGGAGATGTGAGTGGGAAGGCTGTGTGGCTTCTGCTCTGCATCAATTAAGAGTGAGCTCTGCACACTCTGCATCTTCACCATTGGAAGTGGGAAACTCATGACTTCCTCACGACACGCTACTCAGATCTTCCTTCGACAAAGAACTTGCTCTTCAGCTGCGAGGAATGCAGGTAGCTCCAGCTGGATGGCCTTCAGAATCTGCCACAGAGGCCATGCACTTCCCTGGCAATGAATAAACGTGGCGGGGGCCCTGGGTTCCGTCCATTTCTTCTCTAACAGGCATTCTTTGTTCTGGAGCTCCTCGTTGGCATGGTTGTGACCTTATCAGAACTGCTTCATGGTCTGTCCAATTCTGCCTCCTCCTCTCTTTCCTTTCACAGTATTCAGACCTGCACTGTGATCTGAAGGCTTTCCCTGTCCAGTCCTCCTCCTTCCTCTTTTATCTTTCATAGACATTATCTTCCCCCCAAAAAATTTCTTGTTCTTCTATCTGTTTCAGTATCTGCTTACTGGATGATGCAAACTGACACTTCTATCCTATCCTGAACAAGGATGCTCAAATTCATTGCTTATCATGGAAATGCAAAAACAAAATAACATTGAGATATTTCATACCTATCAAACTGGCAAAAGTTAGGAACCTAGATCATGCCAAGTGTTGGTGAGGATGGAGAGAAACAGGGGCAGCAGGCCCTGTCGATGGGAATGTAGAAAAGGGCAACCACCAGGGAGAGCAGCTGGGGGTACATGGTCAGCTTACCCAGATGCCCACCCTAAGACCAGTAATTCTGTTCCTAGATCTCTCTCTAAAAATTCTCATTCAGCTTCATAGGGGCCATGTTTGAGGATGTTCATTTGAGTGTTATCTGTCATGGCAGCAAGTTGGAGGCAATCTGGAGTTCTGTATTTAGGGGAGCAGATGGGCAAAATGTGGGGGATGCCCACAATGGAGTAACACACACAGCAACATAGAGGGATCATGCAAACACAGTGCTGGGTGAAGCAAAAACACAATGAGATACAGCACAACAAGGACAGAACAACAGTCTACTTTTTACAAGACTTTACACAGATGAATGATATATAATGCACAGATTATGATGGCTGCCTCTGAAGGGAGGGGGAGGGAGTAGGAAAGGGAAAAAAAGAGAATAAATAAATAAAAAACAACACACGGGAGGGACTGATGAGGATAGTGTGCTAAGAACTGAGGAGCATGATTCATCGAATCCCCTGCACTCGAGATTTTTATAAAAGAAGAATAAAAGGAAAATATGAATTTTTTCACTCTAAAGCATAAATAAATGACTTTTAAAGCAAGCTTGCTTAGTTCATTAAGTCCCTAAGTTCGTATGTCCTCAGCTGGAGATGTGCTTGTTGGGATGAATCCAAGTCCAGGCTGGGCTGGGGAAGGGAAGCCGACAGGCTGCTCTCAGACCCCCAAGATGTGCCATCTGGAGGGCAGTGTGTCTTCCTCTGATTCCACAGGAGATGGAGTGGGTATTATTTGGTTCATCTTCCCCAAACCGATGTCTAGCCATGAGTTGTCCTCACACAGAGATACCTTAGGCATCTGGATGTCAGATGTCAGAACCCTCAATTCTCCACACTCAGCCTTGAACATGGAGGAGTATAAAGCAGGCTCCACAGAGAGCTGTCACCAAGCGCCTCCCTTTGCCTGTAGGGGCACCCTCTTGCCAGTATTGTGGCCTCACACAGGTGCAGGGGTCTGAGGCTGGGGGTCCAGGCCTGGTTTGGTTTTCCTGTGAGCCTGGGTCTGGGTGTGAGTATGACCTGGCCCAGGGCCAGAGCCTGGAAAGGCCAGGTCATAACAGGAGGTCAGGGAGGCCCATACTACACCCCTAAGTCGGCTGTCCCCTGGGCCTGTTGGAAACAGCCTGCGAGGAGGGGCTTAAGGCACAGAGACCTGAAAAGGAGGGAAAGATTTGAATTTTGCTAAAAAAAAAAGGGAAAGCCTTGCCCTTGAGCTGGGGGCAGGACAAGCCAGGTGTGAGACCTCCCCAGGACTGGGAGAGGAAGCTCACCTGGTAAAGAACACAGACAGTCAAGAGAAAGAAGCCCAGCCCCTCCGCCTGGCTGCAGGTGACTCACAGCGGAAGGTGGCTGTAGGAGTCGCTAGGGCTGCCAGAACAAAGGACCACGGTGACTTAAAGGACAGAAATCAATTTTCTCACAGTTCTGGAAGCCGGAAGTCCAAGATGAAGGTGTTGGCAGGGGTGGTTTCTCCTGAGGCCTCTCTCCTTGGCTTGTCAATGGCCGCCTTCCTGCTGTGTCCTCACATGGCCTTCCCTCTGTGCGTGTCTTTGTCCTAACCTCTTCCCATAAGGCCACCAGTCATACTGGATTAGGGGCCACCCCAATGACCTCATTTAACCTTAATTATCTTTTTAAAGGCCCTATCTCCAAATACAGACACATTCTGAGGGACTGGGGGTTAGAGCTTCAACACCTGAATTTAGGGAGGACACAATTCAGCCCAAAACAATGAGTTTTAAAGATTTTATTTATTTATTTATTTTCCCCCAAAGCCATAGCAGATAGTTGTATGTCACAGTTGCACATCCTTCTAGTTGCTGTATGTGGGACGTGGCCTCAGCATGGCCAGAGAAGCGGTGCGTCGGTGCACGCCCAGGATCCGAACCCTGGCCACCAGCAGCTGAGCGCACACACTTAACTGCCAAGCCACGGGGCCGGCCCAAAACAATGAGTTTTAGAAACAGTCTTTTAGAAACTGGGCTCCTTACAGATGTTTTTGAAAATGCCAGCCTCTTTCTATTGCAATAAAAGGAACTTAGGAAGGGGTGGGGGTTTCACAGGAGGAGAGGCCAGCAGGGGGAGGCGACAGTGAGAAACCTCAGGGAAGGGGCGCTGAGGTCAGCTTCTGACTGCCCCCATCAGCTACACCCTCTCGGGAAACCTCACTGGGTTTTGTGTTCTGTTTTCATTACTAGGAGCATCATTCTCTCTCGTTTGTTTATTTATATCTGCATTTATTGTTTCACTTTTTAATTAAGGTATAATTTTACAAACAGTAGAATTCGCCTTGCAGTGTGCAGTTCTGTGAATTTTGACAAAAGTCTACGGTCATGTCACACCCACTACAAGCAGGAAACACAAGAATCCCATCCCTGCCTGAATTCCCGGGTTCCCCCATAGTCCCTGCCCCTCCTGTCCCCCACATCTGTTTTCTGAGCCTAGAGTTTTGTCTTTGCAAGAAGCATCATTCTTTCTTAATTTACAAACAATGCTGACAAATTTTAAAGCCCAAAGCATAACAGAAGCAGCAAATTAGAACC